TGGATTGAACTTTCATAACTGTTGTAAGTAGAAGAAATGTCCACTGATGAGCCTTTGACTGCACAGATTCTTCTGTTACTGTAATTCACTCTGTTGCACTGATGATCCTTGGCACCTGAAAGATAAAATGATTTTTTTAGTCAGATTTAGAAAGTAGTTACTGTGAGTTTGACTGTTTTTATTCAGATGTATGTAGTGACTCTATGAGATGGTTTTATGTTACTAAACTCACACACTGAAGGAGAGGGGAAATCTTCATGACCTCTTACAGCACAGGAGTAGCTATCTGAAGGATTCAGATTGTCTGGATACCATTTCTGGTCTGACTGAGTAGAAATTTTCTGTCCATTTTTGTACCAGATGTAGCTCTGATGGTTATTTAGTTGACAGCTGCTCTGGCAAGACAGTGTTGCCCAGTATGATATTTGCACCTGAAGAGCTGATTACATGAACAAATATAGTCAGAGCATAAACTTAGGCATCCACTATCCACATGCAAACACACATAGTAATGTTCATAGCAAGTTTGGACTGATGTGTAAATAACATGTTACCTGTGACAGTCAGAGTGACTCCAGGTTGAACAGTAAAACCACCTCTACGTCCTTGGTTTGTTTCAAACCTGATCTTGTACACAGCTGAGTCGCTCACTCTCAAGTCTCTGATTGTCAGATTGCAGCTTTTCCACTGAGCACTGACCGACACTCGACCTGCATATACTGGGTCTGTTTTTAGATCATAAGGGTTATAATTGTTCCATTTAGTGAACCAAACTCTTTTTAACCCATTTGTCCTCGAAGGGTATTTGATGGAGCAGCCTATGTCCACTGTTGATCCTTTTACAGCACAGATCTGAGTAGAAGTGTAAGTCACTGCATAATTATTCTGACTCTGAACCACTGTAACACAGAACACATAGAAACACAGAAACTAGATTAATGACAATAACAAATTTCTGAGCACCTTTCCTCAGAATAATAATTTAATAATGGTTTCTGTGTGTTTATTATTACAGTTATCACAATTTGCATTATGCATCCAAAAAGCTTTGTCTCAACTTCTATGTTAAATAAATTGCAGTGGCATGAAAGAGTCTGTTACATATTGTAGTGAATTATTCATGTCACATACAAATTTTATTGTATCTAGATTTTATATTGCAATATGATTTGAAAACTATGTTAGGAACCAGGAACCATGTGTTTGTGCAAAAAAACGAAAAGAAAAAAAATTGCCAATTCACTTTCTGTTAATCACTCCGTTTAGCTGATTTTAAAGTATTTTACATGTGATCGTGTGTTTCATATGCAAGAAGCTTCAATCACAAGCTTTTATTTATATTTATATATATTTATGTATATTTCTCCATGAAATGTGGTGAAGACAAAGTATAAAACCTTTCCAAAAATCTTTATTCAGTTGCAGTATTGTACACTCCAACCTTTTCAACAGCCCTGTGCTGCAGACCAAAAACAGTTCGCTCATGATCTACCTCAAGACTGACTTACTACTAAAGAAATATACTGCATGTAAACACAAAATACCATACTTCTTTTTAAAACTAAAAATATATACAATAAATCTGTTGAATGCTGATACTTTAAATATAAAATCATAAATTGGATAAAAACAATACCTGGCAGAGAGAGAAGGAAGAGAAACAATCCAGTTGCTGCTGCAGTTGAACTCATGGCTGCTCCTCTCGTCTCATAAATCCCATCAGCGGGTAGATCACATAACATGTAACATGTTGTAAACCAGCCACGATTTCTTCCAGTGTTGAAGATGCTGTCTCTGAAGACCGTGCTCTCTGTGGTTGGAAAATGTAACAGAGCTATCTGGCTGTCTTCCTTCCTCTGTACATGCTTAACATGCATGAACAGACTTTAAACTTGTAAACCCCCCCGCGCTTAAATAAAGAAGTGATTCTCTCACAACACTTTGCATGCAGCTTTATGTTCTTAAAATATCACCTTAAGAAAAAACAGGACTGCCTCTGATACAGGACTCTGCTGAGGACAATAGAAAACATTTTAACATGAGTCTTTTTGAAGACTTCAGGCCTGACTTTATTAATGACATTGATCATTTTGAAAACTGGGCCATGAATAGATTTTAATTTAATTTGTGTTCATGGGATCAAGTTCAGTTTAAATCTCTTTAGAGCTGTTTTTTGTCCAGAAGGTAAATAATAACTGCTGAGTGTAATCCTAACAGTTCAGTAGTAGGACGGCTAAAAAGTATGCTAGGTATAGCTAATATACTGATAGAGTTTTAAATGACTAAAAAATGTGCTTTGGCAAGCTAGGCTAACCCTTAAAACAAGTTTAAGTAGGGATGTTTTGTTACCCCCACTTCTGTGTGTAGTGTGGCTGGTAAAAGTGAGGGTAAACAATACCCTGATGCAAAAAGGAAACAAAACAGAAAGAATCACTGTGTAATAAAGTGCCCAGCAAAGTTCAAATTGATGCAGCAAAGCTGATGGGAAACTGGGGATTGCATAAACTAGAGACTAGACTCAGACAATATTTAAAGATCTTCTGCCAGCGCTGTCACAGCCCCGCAGCCATGTGCCTTGCTTTCTGC